GTTTTGTTTTATGTATACATGTCACACTGTGGGAAACGATATTTCTGGATGTATAACACATGTAGAATTTTTGACAATAAAGCTGACTTTGACTTCCGCGTGCTTGCATATTTTAACAAAGCTTTTCATTTTAGCCACACTGAATTTAACTAGAAGTCATGGCTGTCAATGACCAGTCTGATATCGTTTTACAAAGATGACAAGAAGTGTAGATAGAGGAGAGAACCACTACAAGTCAGGACACGTACAACAGTGCAGCCTAGATGAAAGTGTGCTTACCGGTGTTGTCAGGGCTAGCATGAGGGACAAGGTTTATAGTGTCGGTGAGTAGTGATAGCAAGAGTACCGTTAACCTAGAGTTAATTTATTCACATTAATTCCCATCAACAAATCCATTTTATGTGTCACATGAAATCTTTATTACAAATATTACACACCAGAAAACACAGAAATATCCATGAAATAAACATACAGTATAGGCTATAAACAATTAAAGGGATAATTGGGAAGGCATTACAAATGTAAATATATTTTAAATAATAAAACAATCCCACCACCACAGGTATCTACAGGAGAAGATGGAATTCTCTTCACAAAATGTGAATGCCCACGTGGAGAATGGAAATGCAGTCATGCGGCTGCATTAGCCATCTTTGCCATTCACAATTTCAGCTGCACTGACACCCCGTCAGTGGAAGAAGCCAAAGGCAGCTAAACGTACGCATTCAGTGGAGGAGCTATTTCCTCCAACCAATAACTAATTCAACCCGCTGACAAGAGAGCCCACCTCCGAAGATTGTGACTGGCTGAGGGACAGACTCGGGGGCAGGTCCTCAGGAATTTATTGGCTTCTCTCCCCCGAGCCAGAAGAGGAACACTACAGCTTGGAAACACTTACTGTTCCTGAAATTATTAAATCTGTTGGGCATCAGGGACCTGAGGCAATTGTGGCAAGCATGGCATTGTCTGACGAGCAACAGAGGGCAATTCAGGTGGCTACACTGGTCAGCGAACCAACCCAAACTGGCATTTGTTCAGGAAAGGAAGGTTGACTGCCAGCAACTTTGGAGCTGTCCTGAGGTCAAAACGTGTGAGTGCTTCCCTTATTGCCAGGGTGCTAGGGTGTTACAGCCGCTGCGACCTTGTGCCTTTAACGTTGTGTGTATGCAAATGAGCTGTGCCTTCCGATGCTGTCAGTGGCCGTCCCGACCTCGCAACATTCGCGGGGATTGGACAGACGTCACTCAAGCCCTGCCCGCTGCTGCCACGTCATCCGGGGGAGGAGGATAAAGGCTGGGCACGAACATCCGTGTGGAGGCCCTGTATTTTGTGACAGATGCCTCAACCCTCTACTTGTGACAAAGCCTTCCTCCTGTGATTCTGTTAGACTGCGTAGCAGTGTATTTTCTGTGCCTCGTTAGACTGCTTAGCAGTATATTCTGTAGGGTTCTGTGCGATCTCACTGGTTAGCAGTGTGTCGTGGTATTCTGTGTTTAGAGTAGGGTTTGTGTGTGTGTGTTGCGTAGATCCAGGTTGCTTAGCTCCTGTAGACCCGCATTTAGATTAGTGACATTGTGAAACAGCTTAGACCCAGGTTAGCTTAGCGCCTGTAGATCAGCATTTGTGTATATTGCTTAGACCCCGGTGATTAGCACCGGTTGATCAGCAACAGCTGTGTTTCCACACAGTCTCCTTTTGTTTAGTGTTTTGTTCCACTTTAGAAGTGAGGTACGTTCATTCTTTTGTAGCCTACTGTGCAACTCTCTTTTGGAGTCCTGTGTTGTTAACCCGTAACTGTTTGGTCCGTTGTTGGTCCAGGCTGTTCGTGTGTTTATCATTGTTTTGTTCAGTTGCCGTCATAAATAAACACACCGGTAACCAATACCAATTACAAACTGGTCGTGTCGTTTCCCTTTCTTACCCCTAGCAAAGAGGGAACGTAACATAGGGCAATAACAGGCCCTTGATGGTGTTTTGTCTGTACAGTGGGGGACTATGAATGAATGTGAGGGCGTCAGGGCATTCACCACTGCAACCCAGATGCAGGTCCATGAGTCAGGTTTGTGGCTCTCCCAATCAGGATTGTTGGAGGCATCTCCAGATGGTCTGGTAGGGTCTTCCGCTGTGCTGGAGGTAAAGTGTCCCTATGGAGCCAGGGAAATGACAATTAGTGAAGCATTGCAAATCAAGGGCTTCTGTGTCAGTAAGGAAGGAGTAACATTCAGCCTGCGTGAGGAGCATCCTCACTGGCACCAAGTGCAAGGTCAGCTTCACCTCACTGCAAGAAAGAAGAAGAAATTGTGAATCGTTTTTAATTTACATTTACTCGCCTTTGCAATGTTGTGGTTGTTAGACTGTTAGGTTTCCTGTCAGCTCGTCTGTTGGGAAGATATAAAATATTAGTTTCATGGAAGTCACACCGTCACATATAAGAGCATTAAGACATACAGTACATAGGCTAAAACAAAAACATCTAAAGATATAACCTTGCACTTTGATAAGTCTCTTGAACATTTTCACTATTTTGACATTTGTATAGATCAAAATTGAACTAAAGAAATAAAGGTAGATTAATCCATATTGAAAATAGGTGTCAGCTGCTACACTAATTATAATAGTTATATTTCTTAATTACGATAAGATATTACTGTATTGATCCCAATTTGGGAAATGTTTGTGTTGCAGCAGCATAACAAGAAAAACAAAATATAAGTTATTATATATAAAAAAGTATGTGAGGGATGGAATATTAAATTGAATATAAATGTAAAATGTACATGTGATTTTACGTCCAAGAGAAGCTATGGAGCAGAGAGTTCTCTGCCAGGCAGAGGTGATTTGTTATTAGTTCAATATGTCAAACTGATTTCCCTGACTACAATCTTTAGTTACATGGTGAAACGTTATGCTGCTTGTACTAATTAGACTTATCATATAAGCCACACAGGTTTTAATAGGATGTATTCATTATCTTTACTTATGTTGCGGTCTTTTCAGCAGTGCCATCTCTAAAACGGCGATACAGTCACTACCCATCATTTAAATTTCACCGTGACATGGACAAAAATGTAACGTCAGCTTACCTCATGGCACGAATCCAGACTCTCCTTTGGAAAACATTGGCCAGGAAACGATAGAACGAGCACGTTTCATGCGAAGACCTGTGGCTGCAACCCGGAGCAAAGCAACAAACCATTGCGTAGCTAACTAGTAGCGCTAGCTTTATCTAACGTTAGCCAACGAAACAAACTGCTGAGTAAAATTGGAAAACACTGGTAATTAATTGTTCTATAATTTGTAAAACTACGGTGTTAAAAATGACAATTTCAAAAATACAGATTCTAATGGTCAGATATAGATATACAGATACTAAAGATACTACAGATACTAAAGATAGGCAGGTACTTGCTTTCAAGCAGAACACAGGGGAAAACAAACTTAGCGGGAGTGTTTACGTGTTCGGCGTAATGACGTACAACGGCCTCGACAATTTCTGTAGTCCTATTCAGCCACTCTGTAACAACCATAGTTTTTCAGACACGTAAACCACTCAAAAATCACCAGTGGGGTCACTGCTGATGTATTTAATGTCGTAGAACAAAACGTGATTTATCTCTTAAATGTGTGTCAACCACAGACCTTATTTCGAGCTATTTTCCAAAACCCAATGGAGAAAATGCATTGCTTTTTGACGAAGGAACCGGAAGTGCTAAAAATGCTAACTTACTTCCGGGTTTTAGGATGCGTCACTGCGGTTCTCTATAGAACTACTCGGGTCTTGATAGATTGAGTGGGGAAGTTCATGAGATCTTTCTAGAGGGTTATTAAGAATAACTTTTATCCAATGACCTTTTCCCTCTCTCTCTGTGTCTGTGTATTCTCTTGTTCCGATTAACCCAGCCAAATCTTTTTTCTTGTTTTGTATCTATATCTACGCCGGGATCCGGAGTCGAGGCTGATCCTCTTGCTGTAGTCCTGTGTCTTGGATCCTCTATCCTGAGTTCTGGATTAAGTCGTGGACTTCGGGTCGTGGCTGAACCTGTCTCTGCGGTCCTGCCTTGGGTCTCGTCATGCTGCTTCCCTGATGGCTTCCACAGGATTATAGCTGACATCCTCGTGGATTAATCTTCTTATTACAGACACATGCATTTCCTAACATTCGGTCTATATGCTGTAAAATGTATTATCTCTTCGATTTACACACGGCATCTATTGCACGTCTGTCTGTCCTGGGAGAGGGATCCCTCCTCTGTTGCTCTCCCTGAGGTTTCTCCCATGTTTTCCCCTTAAACTGTGGGTTTTCTCTGGAAGTTTTTCCTTGTACGATGTGAGGGACTAAGGATAGAGGGTGTGTCATGTCTCGGAAACTTATCATGAAAGTCTATTCTTTATATTAGTTTTGTCATGTCCCTTTGTTCAGTCTTATTGTAAAAAGTATTCCTCCTCTCGTTTCAGAACTCCATGCTCCCCGCCCCTATGTGTCTCCTGTGTTCGTTATTGGTTTCCCCACCCTGATTGTTTCCACCTGTTCCCCTCACCTTGTGTATATATTGTGTTAGTCCCCACCTGTCCAGTGCCAGTTCGTTTCCTATTCATGACCACGTTCAAGCCTGCTCCATGGTCGTATCCTGTTTTCTCTAGATCACGATTTTTGCATTTAGTTTTTCCTCGGAAGAGTGATTTTGTGTTTCTTGTTTTTGTTACTGTGTTAATTCCAGTAAAGTCTTTATTTTTGAATACCACCCGAGTCTGAGTCTGAGTTGTGCATTTGAGTTCATGCCTCTGAGTTCACCCCTTGACAGTACGAACTGGCCATTAAAATGAACTCAGCCGACTCAGACCAGCTAAAGAACGCCATCCGCTCTCAGGGCCAACGTCTTGGGCAACAAGAAGAGCGGATGGCCGCCATACACCTAACCAACAGCTACGAGGAACTACAATCATCGGTGACAACCCAGGTGAATCTGCTGGCAGCTGAGGTCCAGCGTGTGCTCACTCACCTGCAGGCTGCTTCTCCTCCCACGACTCCTCCGCTCCCAGCGACGACCGGATCCGAGCCCAACCCGGCGACTGGGCCGCACATCTCGTCCATGCATCTGGCTCCACCCGAAAAGTTTTCTGGGCACTCGGAAGGCTGCCGGCCGTTCATCGTACAGTGTGAGTTACACTATCGACACTAACCGACTGCATTTCCCACGGATTACTCCAAAGTGGCCTTCATGATCTCCAGACAGACACCATGAGGAAGATTTTTGATCAAACCACTCCGGGCAGAGAAGCAGCTCGGGCTCTGATCAAGCTGCGGCAGAATCAGCGTAGTGTGGCTGACTATGCTATTGAGTTCAGGACTATTGCAGTCAACAGCGGATGGAACTCCGCTGCACTGTTCGACGCATTCGTCAGCGGTCTCTCGGATCCCCTACAAGACCAGCTGGCGCCACTCGATCTGCCCGCTGACTTGGACTCCATCATATCCATGGCAATAAGAATAGACAATCGTTTGGCGGAGAGGAGAAGGGATAAATTCAAGGCTGCGATTGTTCCGCCTCTCCAGAGGAGGCGCTCGCCGTCGTATACCACTTCTTCTTGGAGGCCCCGTCACCACTCACCACCCGCGCCCCGGACAACAGCGCCCCCTGGCTCCGTGGAGGAGCCAATACAGTTGGGCCGCGCCAAGCTTTCTATGGCAGAACGTCAGCGTCAATTCAGGGAAGGCGTTTCTACTGCGGTCAGCGCGGTCATCCACAAGCGGCTTGCCCGGTAAAAGAGGAGGCTCACCAATAAAGAGGACGTTGGTGAGCCGATTCTCTGCCTCTGACTTTCCTCCTCGCACTTTGACCCGCATCCAGGTAAAAGTCAGAGACAACGTTTTTACTCAGGGTGCTCTTGTTGATTCAGGGGCAGACGAAAGTCTAATGGATTGGGGTTTAGTAAACAGAATGAACATAAAAACTAAACCTCTACCCCAGCCTCTTGAAGCCAGTGCTCTTGATGGGCGGCTGTTGTTCAAAGTGACTCACCAAACTGAGCCTTTAGAAGTAAGGTGTAATGATAACCATCATGAGACTATGTCATTTCACCTTTTTAACTCAGCTCAACATCCCCTCATTTTGGGGTTTCCCTGGCTGAAACTTCATAACCCTCACATAAATTGGCACTCTGGGAGGGTGGAGGGGTGGGGCAAGAATTGCGTTGATCACTGTTTAAAGCAGGTAGCGGAGATTGACAGGAGATGCAACACTGGGAGTTTTAGGCAGGAAACAGACCCAAAAATAGATCTTCCTGAAGTACTTTCAGTTCTCTCCTGCTACCACGATCTAAGTGAAGTTTTTAGTAAATCCAAGGCTCTGGCTCTTCCTCCTCATCGTCCCTATGACTGTGCTATTGACTTGATTGCTGGGGCTTCCATTCCTAAAGGTCGATTATATGCCATTTCAGGACCTGAGAAAGAGGCCATGAAGGACTATATTGATGCCTCCCTCAAAACAGGGCTTATTTGCCCTTCCTCATCCCCAGCAGGTGCAGGGTTTTTTTTTGTTGGCAAAAAGAATGGGTCTCTTAGGCCCTGTATTGACTACTCACCTCTCAATGACATTACTGTTAAAAACCGGTACCCCCTCCCTCTCATCTCGTCCGCTTTCGAGCAGATTCAGGATGCCAAGGTTTTCACCAAGTTAGACCTGCGTAATGCCTATCATTTGGTCAGGATCAGGGAGGGCGATGAATGGAAGACAGGGTTCAACACACCTTCAGGCCATTATGAATACCTTGTCATGCCGTTTGGACTGTCAAACGCTCCTGCAGTTTTCCAGGCTTTGATTAATGATGTGTTGAGGGAGTTTCTGAACCGTTTTGTTTTTGTCTATCTGGACGACATCCTGATCTACTCCCCTGACCTTGACACCCACAAACAACATGTCCGTCAGGTTCTACAAAAACTGCTCCAAAATATGTTGTTTGTCAAAGCCGAAAAGTACGAATTTCATGCCGAGACAGTCACCTTTTTGGGCTTCATCATCTCCCCAGGTCAGGTTAAGATGGACCCAGCAAAGGTTAGCGCAGTAACCAGTTGGCCTACCCCTGACTCTCGCAAGAAAGTGCAGCAGTTTTTAGGCTTTGCTAATTTTTACAGGCGTTTTGTGAGGAGCTTCAGTGCTATTGCAGCCCCTCTTCATGTTCTCACGTCCCCTCAGGTGCCTATTTTTTGGTCTCCTCAGGCTGAGGAGGCTTTTTCTCGGCTTAAGAAGATGTTCACCTCTGCCCCCATACTTACCCTGCCGGACCCCACTCGCCAGTTTGTGGTGGAAGTGGATGCCTCCAACGAGGGGGTGGGAGTGGTCCTCTCCCAGCGCCAACAGAAGGACAACAAGCTTCACCCCTGCGCTTTCCTGTCCAGGAAGCTCTCCCCGGCGGAAAGGAATTACGATGTGGGAAAACGTGAGTTGCTGGCCGTGAAGCTGGCATTGGAAGAGTGGAGACATTGGTTGGAGGGAGCCGAGCATCCTTTTGTGGTCTGGACTGATCACAAGAACCTGGAGTACATCAAGAAAGCCAAAAGACTGAACTCCCGCCAAGCTAGGTGGACCTTGTTTTTTAACCGTTTTGATTTTGTTCTTTCTTACAGGCCAGGGTCTCAGAATGTCAAGCCTGACGCTCTGTCCCGTCTGTTTGACCCTGTGCCCGCAGTCAAGGAGCCGGAACCCATTATTCCGTTGAACCGTGTGGTAGGAGCGCTGACTTGGAAAGTGGAGAAGGAGGTGATGCAAGCTAACGGTGGGGCTCCTGCACCCAGGGGTTGCCCGCCTCTCCGGCTATTCGCTCGGGAAGCCGAGCGACCACAGGTGATCCACTGGGCTCACACTTCGTTGCTCACCTGTCACCCCAGAGTCAAAAGAACCATGCTCATCATAAAGCAGCGTTTCTGGTGGACATCCATGGAGAAGGAGGTGAAGGAGTATGTGGAGGCGTGCCCTGTTTGCGCTTGCAACAAGACCTCTTCCAGGGCGCGGATGGGATTATTACAACCACTTCCTATTCCCAACAGACCCTGGTCGGATATTTCCATGGATTTCGTCACGGGCCTTCCTATCTCTAGAGACAACACCACAGTTCTCACAGTAGTGGACCGTTTTTCCAAAATGACACATTTTATTGCTCTGCCCAAATTGCCCTCAGCCAAGGAAACGGCTGAGGTCATGATGCGTAATGTGTTTCGCCTGCATGGTTTCCCGAAGGATATTGTCTCCGACCATGTTCCCTAGTTAGTGTCACGTTTCTGGTAGGGCTGCACATTTTGGGAAAAAATCTAATTGCGATTTTTCTGACAAATATTGCGATTGCGATTCGAATTGCGATATTTGTTTTTAAGCGACCCAACGGAAGTTTATTGTAAAATGCGGCCATAACTCCGGCTAGGAAGGTCGTATCAACGTACTCCCGTCTCTAGTACCCCCGCAGCCCGAGCTACGAGTGAAAAAACTAAACTTACATGAAACTTCCGTTGGGTTGCTTTAAAGTCAAGCTTCAGTTTAAGATTCACCCTGTAATAGAAATATGTGATGGAGCATTACTAACCTGACTCAGATGCTTTGTTTCACCAAACCATCTAGGAAAGCTCCATTGGAAGCCATTTGGAAAGGGCAGGCACTTTCAAAAGCACTTGGCAGGTGATTGGATCAATCTGTCTATCACCTTCTATCATGGGCTACTTCTGATTGATTAACAATGGCTGGTATATGTGGAGCACAGCACTTCTGATTGGTGTGGATGACTGACACACAAGGAGAAAAAAAAAAAAAGTAAAGAAAATTGTTTAAAAATCGCAGGCTTTGCGATTTCATAATCGCATCATTTAAAATCGCGATTTCGATTTAAAATCGATTAATCGTTCAGCCCTAGTTTCTGGCAGGAGTTCTGCAGCCTCATCGGTGCCATGGTCAGTCTCTCGTCTGGATACCACTCGGAGTCTAACGGCCAGACAGAGCGCCTGAACCAGGAACTGGAGACCTGCCTGCGATGCCTGGTTTCCCAGAATCCCTCCTCCTGGAGCGAGCACCTCACCTGGGTTGAGTACGCTCACAACATCCTTCCTACATCTGCCACAGGCCTGTCACCGTTTCATTGTGTTTATGGTTACCAGCCGCCACTGTTCCCAGCCACGGAGAGAGAGGTCACGGTCCCGTCTGCCCACGCTCTGGTCAGGCGTTGCCATCGCGTGTGGGCTGCGGCTAGGAAAGTCCTCTGCAGAAACTCGGCGCTTATGAAACGAGCAGCAGACCGAAGACGCCAACCAGCCCCTGTGTACCAGCCAGGCCAAAAAGTCTGGCTTTCTACGCGGGATCTTCCCCTCCACGTACTCTCTCGCAAGTTGGGTCCCCGATTTGTGGGTCCCTTTCCCATCACTAAGGTCATCAACCCGGCTTCAGTAAGACTACGGCTTCCCAGGTCCATGAAGGTGCTTCCCACCTTCCATGTGGGGAAACTAAAGCCTCTGAAGGAGATCGCCATGGTTCCCACCGCCAAACCCCCCCCGAATGATCGATGGTGGTCCGGTCTACACGGTCAAAACTCTCTTGGCTGCACGGAAGAGGGGTAGAGGGCGGCAGCTCCTTGTCGACTGGGAAGGTTACGGCCCTGAGGAGCGGTCTTGTGGCGCGTTTCCACTGCAGCGGGTAGCTCGCTTTAAGCGTGCCGAGCCGTGCGGGGCTCGTTTTTGGTTGCGTTTCCACTTGGCCTAGTACCGGCTAGCGGGTCCTAATTCACAGTTTTTCTGGCCCCATAAAATCGTGGTTCTAGGGCCAGGAACAACCAGGCTGAGTCGGAGTGAGTATGCTAAACTAGAGAGAGAATCGCTGGCAAGGGGGCTACAACTACAACAAGATGAACATATTTGACCGTGATTTAATTGTAATACACATTTCAAAATGATGCCGAAGTAACAACATACTGATACCGGTTAGTAAAAACCATGAATTAATGACAAGTCTGCAGACGGCAGGCGAAAAACCTTTTAAAATGCGTGTTTTCTGAATGGAGCTTGGCTAAGCTAACGTTATATATGCTCCGACCGTCCACACTTACAACAACGGCCTATACAGACATAAATAAACCAGCGACTGTATTCGCCATGACACAGGCAGTCTGTGGTTTGTACTTGTTTAACTTTTGTCTAGTTTCTGAACAGATATGAAGAGCTGTGAGCTCTGAGTGCTAAGAGCTAACGGCTGTGTTGTTTTTCTGGGGCGCTCATTGAAGATGACGTCACGGCTCCGCCTACACTGCGTTACTATAGTAACTACCCCAGTTCCTGAACTGTAATGGAAGCGTAGCATTAAAGTGAGCCGGGCCTAATAAGGCCTAACCAAACCGAGCGAGGCCGAGCGAGGCCGAGCGAGGCCTGCAGTGGAAACGCGCCATTAGATACTAGAGGATCTGTGGATCGAATCAGGAACCAGCCGAAAACTGGGAACTATATTATTCTCACATCTACAGACTGG